CTGGAGATCACTCAGAATTACAACTGCTCTCCAGGAGGGAGGGGGGAGGAGATGGAAAGCTGAAGTCAGAGGGGCAGATCAAGGTAGGTTGATGGTTGGCTGGGAAGGAGATAGGTTTGACAACTCCAGGTTGGAAAATTCCTAGAGATTTGAGGGATGGAGCCTGGAGAGGGTGGGGTGTGAGGAGGAGTGGTACTTCAGACAGGTACAATGCCATAGACTCCACCCTCCAAACCAGCCATTCCCTCCTGGGGAACCATTGTTGCCAATCTCCAGGTGAGGGCTGGAGATCATTCAAAATTACAACTGTTGTTCAAGTAACAGAGATCAGTTCCTCTGGAGAAAATAATGGACTCAGTATCATTATACCCTGCTGAGATTGCAACAGCAAATTGACACTGAGTGCCCAAGGCTGGGGCACTCTCCCAAGGCCTCTTTCTAGAGCTCATTGTATTTATTTCCTCAATGGGCCTTATTCCTAGTGTAGTATAAAGTGGAAGACGAGGATAAGAACATAAGAGATGCCAATGTTGGATCAGGCCAAAGGCCCATCCAGTCCAAAACTCTGTGTCACACAGTGGCCAGAAATACCAGGTGCCATCAGGAGGTTCACCAGTGGGGCCAGGACATCAGAAGCCTTCCCACTGTTGACCCCCCCAAGCACCAAGAAGACAGAGCATCACTTGCCTTAGAGCCCCTATCTATACCTTGTGGCTAATAGCCACTGATGGACCTCTGCTCCATATGCTTATCTAATTCCCTTTTGAAGCCATCCATGCTTATAGCCGCCACCATTTCCTGTGGCAGTGAATTCCATGTGTAAATCACTCTTTGGGTGAAGAAGTACTTCCTTTCATCCATTCTAACTCGACTGCTCAGCAATTTCATTGAGTGCCCACGAGTTCTTGTATTGTGAGAAAGGGAGAAAAGTACCTCTTTCTCTACCTGCTCTATCTGGTGCAAGATCTGGTGCAAGAATGGCTGGCTTGCCAGGCTAGGATCTGGGAGGTTTGGTTCAACTTCGTACTCACCCATGAGGATCACCAAAGTGACAGTCCTAAGGACACTTTCCTGGGAGTAAGCCCCATTATGCAACATGGTGCTTACTTCTGAGCATACCTGCTTAAGATTTCCCCCTAAGGACTCGATCCCAAACAGCAGTTGTGGGGCTAAAATAGTGATGGGACCAATCCAGAGCTGTCAGTGGTATCTATTCACCAAGAGAACAGAGACTCTACAGTGCTGTCATAAGAATACTTTACTGGGAGTAAGCCCCACTGACAGACCTAAGACTCTGAGCAGACCTCCTTAGGATTGCTGTCCTATTCTGCCATCGGAGGCAAAGAAGCACCTGGGGTTACCATCAACAGGCCTGCGGGGAAAATGTCCTGTCCCTTTAATAAACGTTTAACCTGTGGAAATGGGCAGTGGAAACTTTTCATAACATGGGAGTAAATAACATCCCATTCAGCTTCCATTAAAGGGACAGGGTATTTTGTTTTCTCCAGGCAATTTGGCAAGCAACCTGGTTCCTAACTGCTTGACTCTCTGGATTTTAAAGGCCCCCCCCCACCATCCTGAAGGAGGTGCTTAAACATTTGCTCAGCAACAGGGACTAATACTGGGAAGGGGTGATATATAATTTGCCAGTTTTTATTGTAAACCACTTTGAGTAATGAGGACAAACAGTAAAGAAATACTGTAATTAAATAAATGTGATCATAAGAAATGATCACAAGATTAGCTGAGCTCATTTCATAGGCAGACCCTGCAGGCACACAGAAACACTAGTAGTAAGTCTCAGTTTAAAATATCAACGTTATTCCTCCCCCCTCCCCTTTGATAATGTGCCTTTTAAAACTGGAACTGATAGCAGGGAAGCAGGGGAATGTCCATTGAAAATACACATTCATGATGAAAATGGGAACATCCAGATCCTTCAGAAATATTTGAATAGCTGTTTGCTGAACTGGCAGATGCTCAGGCATGCCTACTGGAAAGCTGGCATCTGAAGCAGGCTCCAGTCCATTGCACTGGCAAAAGGAGAGGCAGGTATCGCATATTTCTAGCGGTCCAGAAAGTCCATGTTACCTGCTCATTCCTGATATTTATATTACCCCATACAGTTTACCAAACTAGATCACTGATTTGGGCATTGAGGGTCCTGCTCTAAAGTCCCTGGCACACCATGTCAGTTCCCCCTTCCAAAAAAAAAAAAAAATGCCTCTGCTCAGCTAGTTGTCAATATTTGCCTTTGACAACCAAGGGGCTGATAATTACATGCAAGAAGTTTCAGGGAAACCTTGTCTAGCTTGTTGCTCTTCACTGCTGGTTGTAATTTGCTTACTCCTGATCTTGGCACATTCGATTTGGGAATCCCACTTAAAAACTTCCTCCCGGGATTGCCTCTTCATACAGCAGAGCAATCTTTCATTAGAAAAGCCACTTCCAAACTAAAACTCCATTTCTTGCTTGATTTAACACTCTCTTAATCTGGTGTTTGGGATTAGCAAAATTGCATGGGTAGCAGGATTCTGCACGCCCAAAGAGCTGGCTGGGAAGATTTGACCATGAAATGAAAAATGACCTTTTCTGCAGAGAGGCGGGGGAAGAGAGAAAGGTGTCTTTCAGACCTTTTTCTAAAACAAAGCTGCTGGTCTGACAAAGGAGTGCTTCAAATGAGTAAGAACCCACACAAAAGCCTTTTGTTCCTAATCATTTTGATTGCCCGGAGGCTGCGTCTCATACATAGATTTGGGCAAGAAGGTGTATTTCTCCTCTGGGCTGTTAGAGGGAGCTGATGCACCTTGAGAAACCTTTGTTTCAGTGTGTACAAATGGCAATCAGGAGTTAATCCCAAAGAAGTATTATCTGGAAGGTCATGGGGAACATTTTTTTTAACTCTACCTGTTTCCAAATCGACGTGGGTCATTGTTGTAATATGCAAGCTGTCGGGTTTCACAGAGCCCTTCATTAGGTAAAACGCAACATTTCAGACCTGTGTGGTCCAATGTTATTCATTGACTGAAAGACATTTGTATTGATTTGTTTACTTCATTTATTGCCAGCCTTTCTGACAGAGAACCAAGGCGGATCACACCCAAAAAAAGACAATCGGAGCTATATCAATAGACGACACAATAAAGCAAGATTACAAAGTTGGATTAGGGCACTGAACAAGTGTACAACGTACAATAAAAGAATAAAATATGTACAACAATGAAGCAAAACTGAATTACAAACTTTGAGAAACAGTGCGACAGAATGGGATGTACCATAAACAAAGCTATCAGACATGTGGCCAGTGCTGGACCTCAAAGGCCCAACAGTGAACCCAAGGAGGCTTTACCTTAAACAGAAGCCTTCTACAGTTCCACTCATTTAGAAGTCCCACCTTGCATGTGAGCCTCAGCAGCTCTTTAAACTGAGGCAAGAAAAAAATTATCTGGCCTGAACCCAGCAAAGCAATCTTTATGTTCTTAAGTGTCTATTGTATAGAGTTCATTTATTTGTTTTGTTGATTCCATTATTTCTTCCACTGAAGAATTCAAGGCAGCTTACATAGGATTAGGGGAGGAGCTGTGGCTCAGTGGTAGAGCATCTGCTTGGAATGCAGAAGGTCCCAGTTTCAAATCCTGCCATCTCCAGTTACAGGATCCGGCAGTAGGTGATCATAGAATCAACAACAAGCCTTTATTACGGTCATAGACCAGTATAATAGAAGACAGATAAGTACAGATAAGGGAGCAATAAAATTATAAAATATTATGGCATCTAAAATTATAAATAAGAATCTAAAAGTGTTAAAATACAGACATGATAAAATCAATATTAAGATCAGAAATTAGATTTAGGCCTATCTGTACTTTATTTCTTTCCTAGTTTGGTATGCCAACCAACCAAATTTGGCAACCATCCTAGTCAGCTTTTGGTTATCCCCTGCCAGCATAGTTGACAAAAGTATGCTTCTATTACAACCTGGAAAGGAATTAACTATAGGCTTGATCATAGAATCATAGAACCATAGAGTTGGAAGGTACCTCCAGGGTCATCTAGTCCAACCCCCTGCACAATGCAGGAAATTCAAAACAAATACCTCCCCACCGCCCATACACACCCAGTGACCCTTGTTCCACACCCAAAAGATGGGGGGAAAACCCTCCAGGATCTCTAGCAAAACTGGCCGGGAAAAAAAATTGCTTCCTAACCCCAAAGTAGCAATCAGCATTTCTCTCGGTGTGTAAGAAAGGGCTACAAGAACTAAGCACTGAGGCAACCCTTCCTGCTCTCCCTCTCATGATCTGCCTGAGTTCAAAGAATCCGCTCTGCTGTCAGATGGCCATCTAGCCTATGTTTGAAAACCTCCAAAGGAGAGCCCACCACCTCCCAAGGAAGCCTGTTCCACTGAGGAACTGCTCTCACTGTCAGGAAGTTCTACCTAATGTTTAGCCAAACACTCTTCTGATTTAATTTCAACCCATTGCTTCTGGTCCGACCTTCTGGGGCAACAGAAAACAACTCCACACCATCCTCTATATGGTACTACTTCAACTACTTGAAGATGGTTAACATATCACCTCTCAATCATCTCCTCTCCAAGCTAAACATGCCCAGCTCCTTCAACCTTTCCGCCTAGGACTTGGTCTTCAGACCCCTCGCCATCTTCATTGCCCTCCTCTGGACACGTTCCAGCTTGTCTGTATCTTTCTTAAATTGTGATACCAAAAACTGAACACAGTACTCTAGGAGAGCTCTAACCAGAGCAGAGTAAAGTGGCACCAACACTTCATAGTATCTGGACACTATACTTCTGTTGATACAGCTATACTTCTGTTGATATCTGTTGATTCAGTGAAAGACTCAGCCTGAGACCCTGGAGAGCCACTGCCAGTCTGAGTACACAATACTGACCTTGATGGTCTAATGGTCTGATTCAGCAGAAGACAGTTTCATGTGTGTTCATGTGTGATTACCAGGAGGTCTCCAGTCAAGGAGCATACCTGGCCCAGGACCTGCTTAGCCTCGATAAGGTTGCTGGATCATGTGTGAAAGCCATCCAGCCATTCCAAAATATAAATAATTGCACCTTTCTGGTTTCAGATGCATAATTTCTTCTTAACTTCCTTGCCGCTCAGGTTACCAGTTCTCCATATAACTCACTTGAATAATGAAGCCGTTATTTCCCTAAACAGCTTCCTTGAGATGATCCAGAAAGTACAGACATAAAGCAGGTCTACTCAGAAACAAGACCATGTTATTCAATGCTGCTTACTCTCAGGAAAGCATCCTTTAGGATTGCAGCCATAGGTTTGGTTCCAACCAGCTTTTATTTCATGGGGGGGAAGGGGTTCCCCTTTGATCACCAAAAAAGGGCTCTGTTGGGGATCATGGGACGTGAATGGACAAAAGTCATTTGGGACATCCAAAGTGGAATTGGGCAAGACTGGGTGGAAAAGGTTGGCTTGATCCAACCTGTAGACTCCAAGCTTTCTCTCCCCCTTCCCTTCCCAAATACCAGCTTCTGAAGAGCCACTTTCAAACTTTCCCAGAGTTTCTTAGGCCTGTCCACACGAGAGGATTAGGGCTGGGAGAGGGACGGAACGGGGGCGGAGCAAACGGGTGCGATCCCCCTGCAACATCTGGGAAGCGTACCATGTCCGTCCCCGATCCGGCCCTTCCAGCGATGATCCACACCAAAAAAGAACCACCTACCAAAGTGGTTCTTTTCGAACGGCCGCAGCAACGCTGGCCGTGGGATCGCCGGCGCGTTCTTTCGCCGACGCATCCCCGGCTCCTTGCCGCAGTTCAGCAGACTCCCCTGCCTTTCTCCCCGTCTCCCCAGCATCTGATCGTGCCGGGGAGCAAATGCACAGCGGCTCAGGGGATCTGTATGATCCCGCCGCTGCGTGCCTATTTAGGTGCGGCTTTTTAAAAGCCGCACTTTGGCCGTCCCTTCTTCCCTCGTGTGGCAGGGGCCTTAGAAAGAGGAGTTCAGAAGGGTTCAAATGAAGTGATTTAATTACACTTAAAAAAAAAATCCGTATGCAATTTTATTTTACAGGCATACATGTTGATAGGGTTGTTTCATGGAGCATCTGATCAGATGAAGTATCTTTACTAATCATGACTAATGTGCAAAACCAAATCTCCACAGGTGAGCAGATCGATTCGCATTGCGTGCCAAGAGTAGATACATTTTCATAAAAGTATGTCAGCTGATAACGCAGATAAGGTTCTTTCGGTTCTCTGAATAATTTCAACACATATATCCCACACAAAATTCATGCCATGCTCTCGGAATGTATTGAAATGAACTTGCTGCCAATCGTTTCTTTCTTTCTTTTTCCCCCAGTGAAATTGAAGCAAGATTTAATTTTGTTTTCCTCCTTGCTGAATTTGGAAACTGGTAGTTTTTTAAAATGAGAAGTGTTTAAAAAAACACCTTTGCTCATCTTGTAAATTCATATTACTAATATATTATCTCATGTCCTATGTAAAAAAAATCAGACTCATGATAAGCCCACAAAACCCTGGAAACATTCAGCTAAGAGAACATCCTGACTAAAAAGATGTTCTTATTATAATGCCTTAAAATCTACAATCACATTTAGACAAGGCACTCAACGTATAGGTAGAGACTGAATGAAGCGATGGTTAATTGTATTTTTTTATTATTTGAGACACTGGTAATGTGCCTTTCCTTAATAAGCCCTAGATGGATAACCACCACTCAAATTAAAAACATTTTTATACAGCCACATGCCAAACACAAGTAAACTCATACAAATGCCCATTGACTTAGAAGTAGGGTAGCCACCAAGAAAACAAGGGCCGCAGCTAACCATACCATGGGGAAAAGGTACCTTCAAAGAGCATTGGTCTGTTGGAACATTACTGGTGTGCTGGTGTCACTATTTCCTGTCTGTTTCCATGACTTGAAAATTTGTGGGCTGGTTCATACCGTTACATTCATGTGGGGGTTATCGATTAAAATAGTGAGCAGTAAATTCCTTTATAACCTTGGCTGTATAAAATGAATGCAGGAAATCCATACAATTAAATTTGGTTTAATCTGGGTACTCCAAACTGCTTTTACCCCCGCGGTAAACTGCTGTCACACTAAAGGTCAACCATTCCCACCACAAAGAGAAGATGTGAGAGGCACCTATAGAATGCCAATTTCACCCTCCTCTGCAACCAGCTGGCTTTGGGCAACTAAAGGGCATAGATCTGTGTGTGCCATCAGCCCATGCATGGCTGCCTACATTACTGACAGCCACAGCTTAATGTCACAACCTGAATAGAGTCAACCATGAGAAAAAGGTGATTGTGAAAATGGACTCAGACTTGCCAAACGGGGCTTTGGATTTTAGTGAGATACTCATTTTTAATGGGTTGGATCTCCTAGGGTTGCCAGGTCCTGGCACGGGGTAGGGTTGCCAGATACAGATTGGGAAACTCCTGGAGATTTGGGGGTGGAGCCTGGGGAGGCCAGGGACCTCAGTGGGGTACAATGCCACAGAGTCCATCCTCCAAAGCATCCATTTTCTCCAGGGGAACTGTTCTCTGCAGTCTGGAGATGGTTCCAGGGGATCCCCAGGGCCCACCTAGAGGCTGCCATCCTCCCTAGATTCCACTGATTATTCCCTCGCACGCAAAGGGAAGGGCAGTTTTCATGAGTTCCCCCTGTCTTGCTGTTCCTGGGGAGATGGAGAAGTGGCACTCTGCTGGTGGAACAATTTTCAGCAAGACCCAGTCCAGTGAACATGCCCATCCACTTGGGTTTCACAGGCAGCCATTTTTACCACACATTTTACCACACACATGAATAGGGTGTATAGTAAAAAATTTCCCTGCAACCATTTACTAAGTGGTATCTTGCCACCTCCTATATTTAACCATTGGGTAAGTTAGCAGGCTAGGTGTAGATGTACATGTTGCCAAATACAAATTTTTATCACACATTGGTACTTTTGATCACACATTCTACTATAGATTTTTACCACACGGCTGTACTTGTCGTATGGGTTAAAAAACACACACACATCCTTACTTTCTGGCAGCCCAGGTGCCCCAAACTGAGTGCTCTTGCCCCCGTTGTATCTCGATTATCTGCACAGGCCTCTCCTCCTTCTAGAAATAAACCTCATCTTGAAGCAAGGAACTGTTATAACAAGCAAGGTCCACACATTCAAATTCAGCACGGCCAAGTGCTGTGGAATTCATTCATTAAACGAGACAGTTAGAAGCAAGAGCCTTTTCCGCCTGTATTGCCTGCAATAAAAAATATTCAAAGCACTTCATATTTCATTAAAATTATCAGCAGAATGATTTTCATCTAATGTTATTTCAGCTTTTAATAAAAAGGGGGGGGTCTTGCAAAACAAACATCCGAGAAAGGCCCATCCTTCTTCTCATTCTCTTCTTTACAATTATGACATTGAATCTCCCCATGGATGAGGAAATGACCCATAAATTGAGTTATGAAGGTCATCATCTATGAAGTACAAATATTTCCATATTTCTACCCCCCCCCCAAAAAAAAAGGTATTGTCAGCTCTCCTTGACAGAAATGACTTTAGTTCATGGTGAATTTAAAGCCTATGTATCAGGTTTGGAGGATAAAGATCATTTTCAAAAGTCTGTA